AGAGGATTCGACTGTGTTGAGGAGGAAGACCAGCTCGTCGTGCTTGGCGGAGAATGGCAGAGGCGGAGGAAGAGATGAGGAAGATTGAGTGTTCTGCTAGGAGAGATTGAGTCGCTTGAGGGTGTGATTGGGAGTGAAGTGGAAGCAGTGGACAAATTACATGGTACCTATTTTTTTGTTTTATTTTATTTAGAGGGTTGGATATTGCCATATCATCAATGGGTGAGGTGTATTATCCACGTAAGCTTGTGAAAATTAAAAGAGGTAATTGGTGGAGATCTAACCGTTACAGGTATGCAATTCCGTGACAGAAGGACCATTTGAGTCCCAGAAAAATAAAGTTTAAGGATGGTTTAGGTGCTTTCTGAAGTTAAAGGACGACCTAAGTTTCAAAAAGAAAGTTTAGGGACCAAATTGGGTATTAAACCTTTTTTTTTTTCTGTTTTTAATGAGGAAAGTTCGGAGCTTTCGTATTTATTTCGGTTAATTTCTTTGGAAAACTAGAGAAAAAGGACTCTTCTTTGTTCTTGTTTTTTCCTCACCGATACAACAGGGAGAAGCAAGGCATATTCTGGTTGTACAGGTAGAGGCTTCTGTCAACAATCATCTACATTTGGGTTTTCCACTGTAAGCCCCAGAACCCATCTTTATTTTTTTTCATAGAAATCGATCCATTTTCCTATTTTTATTGCATTTGTATTTCCATGATAGCTTTTCGAGGGAAAAACCCATCTAAAGGTAAGGAATCTTTGTCTTATGGTGATATATATATTAGTGTTGTTTATATTCCTTACTTCAGTGATGAATTTCTTTATGGAGTAGTGGTTACTAGCTTTGGTGGGGTTCAGATATTTGATTCTGATTACCTCTACTTGAGGCTCACTTAGTTTGCTTCAGACAATTTGCTGTTGTTGCTATTTCGTTCTTAGTTTTTGACATGTTCTTTCTCAAAAATTTGTTTATGGGGTTAATTGATTGTGTTTAATGACTTGAATGTTGGAGGTTGCTCTTGGATTGTTTTTTTCCCCCTTACAAATTCCTCCCTTTTTATTTTCCAATGATTTCTTGAACTATTTTCATTTTGACATCAATGGTTCCATTAAGAGGGAATGAATGGGAAGGATAAGGGATCTAGTAGTCAGAATACTGTAATTTCAGACAGTGAGATATTAGGCTTTCCTAGTTTTAGCTTATTCAGCATGCATCATATTTTAAAAAGATTTTTTTTCTTTTTAAGACATTAAAACTTTTTTGTGCCAGAATAACTTTTGGATGTAATGCATTCAGTTTATCTCATTTTTTTCTGTTTTTTCGCATTTTTCTTCTGTTTTTAATTTGTTGTTTCTATTTTTGGATAGTAAGTTTGTGGTAAATAATTTGTAGTCGTGATTTTTTATTGGAGAATCTGTGCTTTATTTCTTAGGCTCTCCTTGATTTTGCTTAAAAGAATGCAGTGTGGCTGCTGGTTGTGGTGTTTCCTTGATTTTGTAAATTGTGATTTTTTTTGTGCCTAATTATTTCAATTGCAATAGTGCTCTGTTTTCTGATATTTATGTTCTGGAATCCTGTGGCTCTGTTTTCTGTTAGCATGAAATCTTCATAATTTGGAGGATAATTCCACCTTGCTTTATAAAGGGAGAGAAAATATAGAGCTATAGATGGCTTGGAATCTTTGGTAAATTGGAATGCATTTTTAACCTTAGGCTTTTCAAAGTGTCCCTGCCTTGTTGCTCTGTATAACACTGCTTTGTTGTAATAACGATCTACATTTATATAAACATTGATGAGTTAGGTGCATTTTTAAGATGTAAAATTTTTCTGCATTATGGATGTATTTGAACTTAGTAATTTTATATGCAGATTGCCTTATTTTTGGTTGGTGTGGCTATTTTAATTTCTTGTTTGGCTTGCTTTATTGTTTGGCTTGCTTTATTGTTTTTATTGTAATGAAATTTCTCGAGAGCGAGGGATGATGTTTCAATGTTTGAAATTCACATATGCTATGTTTGGGAACATGAATTTGAGATAAGTGTATTTGAATTTGTAGTTATAAAATCAATTGCACTGTTTATTTTATAAAATATGAGTGTATTTGAATTTTGATCTAAATACATGTATTTTAACCTATGTATTTCAAAGACTAAATAGCATGTATTTTAAATACCCTCTCATACTCATGAATTTGACAATGAATTTCAAATTCTTTGCTCATTCTCTACATCTTCCTCTGCAATAAGATAGCTTCTCTATGATGAAGCTCCAACGATCGAGTCATTTATGGAGAGGTAGTTTCTTGGTGATGATATTGAGATCTCCTTAAACTTCTTGCAGCTCGTAGTTTCATTTTGAGAAATACCTTCTTCCACTGTAATTGACATTTTGCATTTGTTGTGTTCTCTTAGGTAAGGGTTTATCGGCGAAGCAAACTAATGGCCCTTAAAGGTATGGATTGGACCAGCTCACTGTTCCCTTTGTGTAATACAAATTTATAGTTGATCTCTGTTGTAATGGATGCAGTTGAAATTCTCTTTTGCTTCATTATGTATACTGCTGTCCCTGTAGTCATTTGATATTGCAGAACTGGAGATGGGTCTTGAGAATGGATTCTATTTCCTGTTCATTTGTAGTCATTGAGCTATTGTTTGTTTATTTTAATTCAGTTTGAGATCTTGGTATTTTTTTTTTTTTTTAAGATGTAATCTGAATCTAGATTCATTTGACTGTGTTAGGGCTGAAAATTGATGTAAAAGTATAAAATCAGGAAACTACTGCTCTTGTCCTAATTGAAGATGCATTGGTAGATAGGATGTATTCATGTTTTAATGTTAAAGTTTATTTGATTTTTT